AAGTGCTCACCTGTTCCCACAGAGGTTTCTTGCTCTAGAAATTTCTCTTGGCTTGGAGAAACCTGCCTGACACTGTCAGGTTGTTTTTAGATGTACAAACACTGGTTTTTCCTTGCTGGTTTCTAAGATGGAATAGTTGAATTTTAGTAGAAAAACTTTCTCTTCAAACATATTCAGTACTTTCTATTTCTTCAGGGTATCACTAGAAATGAAGATTAATGACCCAATCCATCACTCAGGGTCATAACCATCTGAAATGGTGACATTTTTGCCTGTCAGGTTAATATATATTTATATATAATATATATATATGAGCGTGCTAGAGAAGCCTTTTGTGTGTGTTTTCAGGTGAGTGTCCTTTCCAGCACTGTCACTAAAATGAAGTTGACTATCAAGGGTGTGTGTGACACCTTTAGTAGCAATTTTTATCATTGATTTGTCTGTGTCATGTGCCAATTTAAGACATGTGTCACTTGGTTGATGACAGGATCATAACTTCAGTGACATTTTAAGGGGTTTTTTCAATAATATTAGGATTTTTATGGGTTGAATTAGTGGCTAAAGAAAAGTAGGGCTATAACAAGTCTGAATTTCATCTGTATTATGATTCTCTAACCCATTAATAATTATTATTTAGTTAACTCCCCTGGGCATCCTGTGCCAGGGCCTCACCACCCTCACAGGAATGAATTCCTTCCCAATTTGCCCTCTGAAAAGCAGGCTGTTGAGTGCCCTGCTGATGGAGAAAATCCTCATTTTTCCTTCTATTCCAACATTCCCTGTGAATTACAAATGTATAGACATAAATTACAGTTATACAGAGGCTCCTTAGCCATCTATTATTCTAATTTCTTTCCCCTACTGAGCTTTTCAAAAGGCACCATTGCAGAATTAAACCCAACTGGGCAAATGTGAACAACTCCAGGTTCCTATCCCCAGTCAAAACACCCTTTTTTTAATAAGTGCTGTATAATTTTTTCACCAAGTATTCATTTTGAGATGAGTAATGAGGTTAAGCATATTCAGATGCAAATTTTATCCAAACTTGCTTTAATATGTTTGATCAGTTAAAAATATGCAAGTTGTCTTTTACATTTTCCTTTTGAATTTAATGAACTCAGCATATAAATGGACTGTATAAAATATCTCTTCATTTTCTTTATTGGCAAAGAAGAAACCAATGCTTACAAATACAATAAACTTAAAGTTATAAAATGTTTAAAGTTTATAAAAAATGGCAAAAGTTGAATATGTTAATGTCTTTTTATAAGAGTAAGTATTTTTGGATATTCCTCCTCAAATCTGCATTGTTTTATGTTTCTGTTTTCTCTGCTAGGATTATTTGCTCACCTATGTGCCTTTGAATAAATGTTTATGTATAAAAAGCCTAATTCAGTTTATTTCTTGGCATCCATTCCATCATCAGCTGTGGAAGGTGGAAGAGACCTCTTGGATTCAATAATAATTTCTCTTAATATATTAATATAATGTTACAGATCCTTGAAATTGTGTTTTGAGGTGATTTTAGTGTGCCTTATAAAAATACCTAAAGGTAAAAGTGTACTTAATGATCCCAGGTCAGAATTGGAGGTGAGAATAAAATATTGATAAAGTGTCGATTGTGGCACAGTGTGAGGAGTGTGAAATTGTTCACGTACTGAGGAGCACTACAGCAATGCTGTCAGCGTCTCAGACACCCAGTTCTGTACTGGGAGCACTGGTTTTAGCTCTGGGGGTGCTGGTGGCAGCTGAGGGTGCCTCTGTTTGCAGAACAAAGTGTTCATTTACCGCGGCAAGGAGTACGAGCGGCGCGAGGACTTCGAGGCGCGGCTGCTGACGCAGTTCCCCAACGCCGAGAAGATGAAGACAACGTCACCCCCTGGTGATGACATCAAAACCTCCTCTGGCCAGTGTATCCTTGGGCTGTACAACCAGTACAACCAGTGCATCCAGCAGCTCAGGTCAAGCATTTATGGCCAACCTGTTGCACTTGCGCCGTGACGGGTGGAACGCACCGGTTTTGGGGTTTTTTTGTCCTTATTTTTATTTGTGTGTGTTCCTGTTGAGCTGTTTGCTCTGTGTGACTGAAATTCCCTTTTCACTTCTTAACCCCCGAAATTCAGATATTCAGTGCTTCACTGTAAAGCCCAAACTGGATTTACCCTCCAAATTTCACAGACCGGTGTCAGAGCAAATAGTGAGGTGAGTTTGGGTTGGGTTTGATCATTTTCTCAGTCCTCTTTATATAACATATTAGTGTTGGATAATGAATCTGATCACAGCCATGGAGGGTGAGCATTGTGAGGCCATTTAATGGTGATTTTAAATGTTGGCACACATTCCAACGCACTGGAAAGTAATGATCCCACATTTGTTCATAAACTTCTTCTAATATTAGAATTTAGAATCAATTCCTAAACAAACAGCATTTGATGTTCATTGTGAATTTGGGGCTTGGAGCTGGATGATCTTTGAGGTCACTTCCAACCCAATCCATTCTGTGATTCCATGATTCTTTTCCCTCTTTTCAGTTTTTACAGGGTGAATGAAGTCCAACGCTTTGAGTATTCGCGCCCTGTTCGAAAAGGAGAGAAAAACCCAGACAACGAATTCGCAGTAAGAAATGATGAAGAAAATAAAACCACTTTGGGTTTGCTTGTTTATCCCCCTCTATTTTGAGCATCTGAGCCATTCATTATCTTTTGCTTGTTGAGAAATAAATTCTAGGTTTAAAGGGATTATTTTTCATAGAAAGTTAATTAAGCCAATTTATCATGTTCTCGTTTATATACCAATAAGAAGAAAAATGGGCAAAGCTCTATTTATTTTGTAAAACCAGCTCTTCTGAGAATGGATTTTAAATTGTTACACCTGAAACTTGTCTTGCCATGAAGATTCCAGTCAGGAATCTGAAAATCTTTTGTTCACTAATACTTTTTGCTTTTTTTTTTTTTTTTTACTAAACCATTTGTTTCATCTAATGGTCAATAAAATGAGTGCTGTGAGGAGGCCCTGGCACAGGCTGCCCAGAGGAGCTGTGGCTGCCCCTGGATCCCTGGCAGTGCCCAAGGCCAGGTTGGATGGGACTTGGAACACCCTGGGATGGTGGAAGGTGTCCCTGCTCCTGGAACTGGATGGGTTTTAAGGTCCTGTCCAAGCCAAACCATTTTGTGATTCCATGAACATCCAGTAAAACCAGGGGATCTTCCTGTGAGCAGAAGGGGAGCAGTTGTTCCCTGCTGAGTCACATCCAGATTTTAATCAGTGCTGCTCCATATTCCATTTGGAATCCCCCTGGCTCTGTAACATCTGCCATACCTTGGTCCTTGTCCTGCTGCTGATGTTTGAGGGTTTTGCTCGGGGTCCCAGCTGTCTCCATTGATAATGTGACACTTGTGTTCCCTTTGCAGAACATGTGGATTGAGAGAACCATCTACGTGACAGCCTATAAATTACCAGGGATCCTCAGGTGGTTTGAAGTCAAATCAGTTTTCATGGTAAGATCAGTCTGGCTTTACTGAGATTGTTTTAAAAGATGGGGTTTTATACATCCAGGGAACATTTGTGTGTCTCAGTGACTGTGCTGAGTTCTGTGAGTGAGGAATCCATGGGATTGTACCTGGCACGTGCTGGAGAAGCTGCTGAGGGTGACTCAGGCAATGCTTTTCATTCCCAAGGGAATGCAGCCAGTCCTCCAAGGCCTCCAGCCCTTTTAGAAAGCATTTGTGTCTCTCAGCAGCTGCCTAGAATGAAGAGAGACCTGAGGTGATGTAGGGAAACCCTGCTCCATGCCAGAGAACCTAGCCTGAACTTTATAAAAGAGGATCTGGATATCTTGATTGTCATTAATTCAAAATACCCCAATAATCACAGGCATTGTATGTCTGCATTTCTTACCACTTGTGGTTAAAGGTTGTTTTTGTTTTTCTCCATATTTAGCTAAATATACCCTCAGCAACCTCACAGAGTAACTCCAAATTACTCATTTCTCTGTTCAACCATTTAGACTGTTTAGATAAGACATATCCATTAAACGCCTTTAAGATTAAATTATTCTTATGCAGCTGTAATTTTTAAGTAGCAATAAAAACATTGTTACTGCGTTTTTCAAATCTCTCTTGTGAGGCTTATTTTTAAAGGAAAAGAACAATTTGCATATGATTAATTAAAACCTTTTTCATTGCTCCATTGAGGTTATGTTGGACAGTTGTATTTGGATGAACAGAAGTAATGCAGAAAATTACTATGGTATCTATAGTAACAGAATATGAATGTGATGTGTGACAGTAATAGGCAGCTGAATAAAACACATTGAATTTTTAATGAATTTCGTAGTTTCAATATAACCCTGATGGAGAAGATTGTATTTATCTTCATGATGGCAAGAAGTGCTGTTTGTAAAGGCTGGCAGATCTGATGCCAGTCCTGATGAGCAGAGAGAGCAGAGCCTGACAGGCACTTTGTGTACACCCTTCATGCTCTGCCTGGCATCAAAACGGGCACAAATCCTGGGAGAATGCTTCTGTCAGCCTTTTGGGAGCAAGGACTGGATCAGTTGCATAGCTGAGAAATGATAGCACAATGGAACTTAATAACATGTGGGAAGACTGCTACAGATAACTTCTGACCTCTTCTGGCACAGTTCCTCCAAAATGGGTATTGACTTTCCTCAAGATCCCTGTCAGCTAAAATGCTGCAAGGAGGATCACAGGGTTTACATCCCTGTAATGCTAAATTGTGATTATGGATACAGATATTATTGATCCCTTGCTAAGCACCAGGATACTCCAGCAGCTCTGCATGTTTCATATTTTATTGATGGAAGTGGAATATTGTTAAAAGGAGAGGTGAGAGTGCATTGAGTCAGTGCTGAGAGAATGGAGTGATTTTATAAATGCAGTGTATTATGTTACATAAGCCATAGGAACATGCAGAGTTGCTTAATATCTATTGGCTTTTCAAATTCCTTCTGAGCACTTTTACCTAAACCTTTGCAATCTGTTCATTATCTGCAAGGAATTTGGGGCCAGCATTTGTTATTCTGTATCTGTATCTGGTATTCAGCTGGACACAAGAAGTTGTAGGGGAAAAATTTGCTGAGACAAGCCAGGGAATTAGAAAACAGATTTTGAATTACACTTGAGTTTAAAAAGCACAAATGCTAATCTCTGTTTTGTTTTTATCTTGGAATTTTGCACTGGTGCAAATGTCTCAGGGGAATGTAATTCCTGTTTTCCCTGGATAGAGTGAGGAGTGCCCAGAGTCAGGAAGGCACTGGGAACAAGGCTCACAATTTATACTTGTCATAAATAGCTTTCACCAGGTTCCAAAGCCCAGTCTGTAGTAGTGAGATGGCAACTGCAATTCTCCATCTGCTTTTTAAAAAATTAGAGGGAGTGTTACAAGAGTAGTAAAAGAAAGGAGAACGAAAAAGAAAGCCATGATTGCTGCTACAGAAAAGTCAAAAAGCTGTCAGCTCAATGAGTGCTAATTTCTGGAGATGCTCAAGAGCTTTAAAAGCAATGGTTCATCAACACATTATTGCATAGTTATAAGGCCATTAATACAAATGACAGAATCCTAAATTTAGCCTGTGATGTTCCCAGCAGCTCTTGCCCAATCAGATGCTGAATGTGGCTTCACTCCCTGGTCCAGATCCTCCCGTGGCACGCTGGGCTCTGTCCGAGCCTGGCTGCTCCCTATTCCCAGCACAAACACCAGCATCCTTCCCTGCTTCCAGAATAATTCAGCAGGCAGGCTGCTCAAAATGCTAATTAAAACATCCTTGATGTAATCAGCTGGCAGGTGTAAGAGTAACAACTAAAGAGATTTGATTATAAGTGGTTCTCAGAAACAGGGTAAGCAACTGATAGCCAGGTAGAAGTGCTGCTTTGTTTATGTAGCATTTATGTAAATGAGGCTGTAATCAAATATACACTTGCATTTTCCTCACAGGCCTCAATTAACCTTCCTTTCCCCTCCCTACCACATCATTTTTTTAATACAAGCAGGCTGTGTCTTCCAGTGAGGACTCTCTACACTCTGGGTCACTGCAAGTTACTGATTTTCAGCCCATCCACTAATATTTAAAATATTTTAATACTGTTTTTTCAACATGAACTTTTTGAAAGGTACGGTAGCTGGGCATAAAAAGTAGCTGGAGGTCAGTCAATTAAAATAAAACAAATTTTAGACAGCATAAGAGCTAATTCACCCCGTGAAGGCATCTGAGGACTCTCTTCATTGAAGTCAAGGTAGAAAGAAAATTTCTCCCTTCAGTTCTCAGTGCTCAGATGAAGAAAATGTGACCTTTTGGGAAAAAACACAGCAGATAGTTTAGATGTCATCTCATCAGCATATTCAACTCAATATCCTTGGAAACACACCAAAATAATCACTGCAAAAATATCTTCTTGATTTTTGAGCGGCTTAGGATTACATTTTCCATCAGAAAATCCACGTTAAAGTTATCATTTCTTTCTTACTATTACGTTAAGCTGGATCTTCTTTGTGCTGCTAAAACTCACCAACCCTTAATCTCTGATGTTCTTCATAATCCTCCAAAAAAACCTCACGTGATTGCTGCCAGATCCTTTCTGGGTGTTGTGCAGGGATGTCATCCCTCCTGCAGCAGCAAAATGCATTTACCTTCCTGCACTGATACCCATCATCATATCACTTTCTGCAGCACTGAGATACCAAACATGCCTGAAATCAGCCTTCCTGGTAACTGTTGGCCAAAAATCTCACAAGAACCTGGGTTCTGAAAGGCCTGCAATGTTTCTGCCCCTGGGTTTTTTTACTGAGCACCTTAAAAACCCTGACCTGATGGAAAATCTCCTTTTGTTTGGATTTTAGGTGGAGATCAGCCCTCTGGAAAATGCCATCGAAACCATGCAGCTGACCAATGATAAGATCAATAATATGGTGCAGCAGCACCTGAATGACCCCAACCTCCCCATCAACCCCCTGTCCATGCTGCTCAATGGCATCGTGGATCCTGCAGTCATGGGGGGCTTTGCCAACTATGAGAAGGTAATGATGCCTTTAGTTTGAAGTGTTCCTCTTCTCCCTGGATGTGCTTTTCTGATGTGCTAGGGTGAGGAAGGCAAAACAGTTCCTATTCCAGTTCAGAACTCAAGGACAGTTTCTCCAAACTGCAGGCCCTGAGCACAAACTCCGTGGAAAGGTGGAGGGTGGGTTCATGCAAATTAACCAGAACCTATAAAAATGTGAGATTTTGTGACCAACCCCCTCCTTTCCTTCCATCTTGGAGCCCTCCAGGCAGGGGCCACCACTGTGGCACTGATATTGCTGGGGTGTGGCTTTTGTATTTTATTCTCCTTAACTCTGTGTGTAGCCTCTGTTCCAGCTCCTCAAGGCATCAGTAAGGCCAGAATTCCCAGAATTCCATCAGCATTCCCTGTGCTCCTGGGCCCCAGCTGAGCCCAGCACATGGGGAGAGGTCAGAGCAGGGATGGAGCAGCTCTGCTGGGAGGAACAGCTGGGATTGTCCAGCCTGGAGAGGACAACTCTGGGGTGACCTCAGTGTGACCTTGCAGGGGCTCCAGGAGAGCTGGAGAGGGACTGGGGACAAGGGATGGAGGGACAGGACACAGGGAATGGATTTAAACTGACAGTGGGTGGATTTGGATATTGGGGAGGAATTCCTCCCTGGCAGGGTGGGGAGGGGCTGGGATGGAATTCCCAGATTTGCTGTGGCTGCCCCTGGATCCCTGGCAGTGCCCAAGGCCAGGTTGGACATTGGGGTTGGAGCTCCTGGGACAGTGGGAGGTGTCCCTGCCATGGCAGGGGTGGCACTGGGTGGGATTTAAGGTCCTTTCCAACCCAAACCACTGTGATCCTGAGATTCCATCGTTTTCACTTTGTGTTTGTAGCTGTTCCTTGGCAGAATTTCTAAGCTGATCAATTTATCTTGGTTGTAGCTCATTCCTCTGGTGGTAGATGTTTCATTTTCTGAAATAGTGGCTCATTTCTCTCTCTCTCAATTAGGCTTTTTTTACTGAAAAATACATGCACGAGCATCCAGAGGATCATGACAAGATTGAGAAGCTGAAGGATCTGATTGCTTGGCAGGTAAAAAACTTGAAATCAGGTTTGGCAGAGGCAGCTGCTGTGGAAAGGCAGCTTGGAGTCACTCTGGAGGAAATTCAGACATTATCCTCACCTTGGATACATTTTGTTGCCATTTAAATCTGTCTTGGAGCTTGAGTTAAAGTTCATCTTTATCAAAATGAGCAATTATGTCAGATTTGAAAACTTGCAGGGAACAAATATGACCAAGATATTTTCTTTTTTCTTTCTTTTTATTTTTTTTTTTTAAACATAGTGGTGACAATCTTCCATCTGTATCAGATGAGAAAATATTTTTCAGGGCAAAAAAGACACAATTCCAGTTTTGTTCCATAGTCACATAACTGGACATTTTTCTATGGTCTCAGGATAATTTTATGATAACTAAAAAAAATAAATACCAGGTTGATTAGAAATGGGTTTTTTTCCCCACAGAAGAAGAAAATGAATCATTGTCTTTTCATATTCAAGTCTGTCTTTATAATAAAGGGAATAATTTACACTTCTGTAGATTTCAATCTTAGAGGTAGTAGAACCAAAGCTACAGAATTCAAAAATAAAATACCCTCTGAAGTCCATAAAACTATCAGTGAGTAAAAAACTCTTTTTGGTCTGGAAAAAAAAAAAAAGGCATTTTTTTATTTATTTCCTAGTGAGCTTTTAGGAAAGATTAGATTTTATAAGCTTTAAGTTTTATAGAGGAAAATAATTTGGTCCCAGCAGACTGACTTGGTGTCAGTTCTGTGTCTCTGCCTCTGAGAGTGATACTTCAAATGAATTCCAAACCCAGAGCAAAGCAAAGGCTCACTTTGGTGACACTTGTGTATTAAAATAATATTACAAATTGAAAATAGGTATGGCAGCTGATCACACTGTATTTTTATTATTCAGGGCTTTTAAACACATGGTCTCCCATCAGTTTTGTGCTTCCAAAAGAAAAGGAACCAGGAAAATAGAGAAAAGGAATCAACATTTATTTTTAGATCCTAGAATTAAAGTCACCAAAAGCCCTTTCAGTGCTTTTAAATTGCCTTGGATGTTTCATATGCATTTAGGGGATCCTAAAATTTAAATTATTTCAGTTTCCAGCCAGGTGGGAGTCAGCTCCCAAATATTGGGAGAGGGATGTGTATGGAAGCCTTGGAAGGGGCTGAATTCATCCTGGGCTGGCAGTGATGCAAAGCAAAAAGGAGATTTCATTTTTCAATAACGTGGGGCTTGGAGTTCTGTAATCACATGGAATTCTCTCCCTGCTGCATAAATCAATCTGAGTATATGAAATAGGAGCCTGACAATTGTATTACCAGCTGACCAGTTAAATTTCATTTTTTTCATCCCCTTCCCTCTTTCTCCACTGTGCCATGGAATTCAGGATATTATCTTGCTATAATTCCTCTAACTTCAAGTGTACATTTTGTTTCTGTCTCTTATTAATTCAGATAAATTCCATTAGCAGAGCAATGTCCATTTTTGTCCTTCTTGGTGCTTTTCCAACTTAGGCAAAAAAATGTTCCCATGCAACTGCACCATTTCAAGCTGATCTTTCATTTTAACATGAAGATAATGAAATGATTGATTGAAATTAAGGCAGAGAAATGAATGATTGATGACATTAGTCACTCTGCATTTAGCTAAAGTATTTACAGCACAGCAAAACAGAAAAATACCAAGGCAAATCAAAACCTTGTGCTCCTTCTACAGAGATGAAAGAACTGCTGCATACCAAACTCAGGTTTTATGCTCATATTTTATGATCCCCTTGCTCTGAAAGATTGTTTTCAAAGATTAGTTTAATAATTCAAATCAATGTCATTTTTTTTTCATTCTTTTCAGCTGAACAGATCAAGATTAAAAAAAAAAAAAAGGAGGGGGAAAACAAATCAGGAAATAATTTGAAGTTGCAGTGGAACTTTATAAAATTTTAAAATCAGCCAAGAGCAGAGTTGTGAAATAAGAAAATGCCCTTTCTCCAAGGCCAGATTAATTGGGAATATCCTGAATGTGGCAAAATTGTGCCTCTCACAACAATTCATGGAGGTGTAAAAGTCTGTGTCACTCATCACCACATTTCCCTGGGTCTGGAGAGGAGCCACAGGAGCAATTTGGAAGTTGGTAGAAGAAGGTGAAACAGGAATGGTGACACAGTTGGGAGGTTCTTCCTGCACTTGATAAATGTTTAAAGATTGAGTGGTCTTGGACAGGGAGGCCAAATATCCTGACTCAGCAGCCTCCCGTTCTTCTGTGGCAAAGCCACGGCACATTCATGAATTTCAACTTCTGTAAAAGATTAACAAACCTGTCCTTCTC